CACTAGATTTTCTTCCATTGTTATTAATTTTATGCAGTTCTTCAAATTTTACACGCGGTTTTCAAATGGATAAAACAATGTGTTGAAAAATTTTTAAAAGAGAATAACAAGGAAGGAAATCTAATCTCCGAATAGTGTCGTTAACAAAATTTGTACATATCTCCAGACATACTGGCAGAATCCACTATTCAAACATCGGACGGTTGAAATTGAACGGTGATCAAAAATTGATGTGTCCTAAAACTCGGTCGGTTCCGCAGCGGGGGGCTGCGGGAGGGGGTTTCGATCGGTAAAATACGTATTAGGATAAATCAAGTTTCATAAACTTAAATGTTTGCACGAAGCAACCTTCGTTTTCTTGTTCATTCGTTTCTAGCAGAATGTAATTTGAAATACTAGAGGTTCCTATAACTGCCGTATATTGACACGGTCGGGAGTGAGTGAATGATAGAATGTATGTTAACTATGAACAAAATGGTTATATTAGCTTTTGTACCCATTAATAACTTGTAAGATATGTAATCCTCCTCTGAAATACAAAGTATCAGTCAATATGGGTGAGATACTTGAGTTTAGAACGAAATCTTGGGATACGTGGTTTTGGAAATGTTTTCTGAGTTACGTAGTTGCCTTTAGCAGCCATCGAAATGATTTCACATACAAAAAAATTTCATAGAAGAACCTAGCGAATTTGCTAGATGATTCTACTGGATTTCTATTCAGCTTTTTATTAATTTTTGATCGATTCTATCGAAAAATTCCGCAGCTTCTCAGTACATTTGTTTTCAATAGAAATTGTAAGGAATTCTGGGAATTCCTTAGACGATCCATAGACCATCGAGAACTTCGGATTAAGCGTGAGTCAGACAAAGACCTAGAGCCTTGTATTTTAATAAATTTTGGACAGGAAAAATTATCGCGTTAGTGACCGTCCGGTGATCGTTCATATTGAGGAAAAATTATTGTTATTCCGGATAGTATTTACGTGCTATGTGTTAGGAGTTTTCATAAAGTTAACTATCGGGGACCCAGAAATTTTGATTGTTTGGGCCAAAAATATTATCAAGCTACGCGATTATTGATAGGAATCTCCCCTTGCATTTAATCTTCGGGAAATGTGGAGGCCCAGCTGAAATGCTGGCGCTCATTGTATGGATTTATCGGGATGAGACAGTTTCGGTTTTAAGTTTCGGTGGAAGGTCACACGGCCAATCGCGACCGTTGCAACCGTGTGAATTGCCAAGGTCGCTATACGTTTTAGGGAATCAAGTTTTGTCTTATGGTGCATTATATGTTCTGTTGAGTTATAGCTTCGATGTATCTTGCGTCTCTACCCCGGTAATCTTTGAGAATGCAGCCCTGAAGAGGTAATGATAGTTAGTGGATCTTATCTGGGCTAATTACCGCCCTTTTACTCCTTTTCATTTTCTTTTGTTGTTTTGGTCTGTTGTCGGTTCAAGTTGAATTGAATTACGCGTTTATGGCTAGGTTGACGTGTTCCTTTAGCCGCTTCGTCGTACCTAGCGTTGAACATTTGCCTAGGTCACAGCGGCTGACCCCACTACGTGGATATAACGCTCTCGTTCTATCTTTTGGCGTTAGATACTCGTTCTCTTTTCACTTTTGGGGTATAAATTGAACGATTTTTGCGTATTCGAGCAATTGAGAAGAGTGAGAGTAGTAGTTGTTGGGTATTATTGACGCGGTTGACTCTGGATTTTCATAGAGGACCTTTTCCTGGGGTCGTAAATCCCAGGTATGCTGGAACTGCAGCACGCCAATAATTATCCAACGACTGATACGGGAACGTAAACCGACTCAGTGTAATGTGGATAAAAATAGAGTTCAGGATGTTTTTGAATGATAACACAGGTTCCCTAAACACCTTAAATTTAATTAGACGAAAATTATTGTTCAAAGATACTCAAATTGAATACACGATATTTAAAACTACGCGAAATTAATTGAAGAAAGGTCCAGATATATAGAGAGGTTCAGTGAGAGTCGAGTCTTCACTGAGCGATGTCGCGATGGTTACTGATCAAATTTGAGGGAAAATTCCAAGTTCTGAATTCGAAAATGGGAGGGATGGATGTTTCTTATTGGCTAATTTTATTTTCTCGCTTTAAAACTATTGGTCAGAAGAAAGTGGGGAGGCGTGTATAAAACTACAGTTGAGAGAGTTTTGGGGATTTTCCGAAATTATGGGATACCTTTTTTTTATATAGAGAATAATTTTTGGTGTGCTTGGACGGATGGTCATCTGTTTGGCAGGTGTGGGGAAAACATTTTGCTTCTTTCTGACTCTCTCAAAATTCCTAAGATTTATGGTGAGACCGTAATAAAAAGGATAAACTCAACCCTTGAACAGCAAAAAAGGGACAGATTGTCAGACTCCAGATTTTGGGTCTCCATAAACTGTGATTTTAACATTTTTCCCCAATTACCAATAATTTGAGGAAATTCTCCCATTCAAATCTAAAAAAATCGGTTGTGCATCGAACAGTAGTCGAGAGTAGTAGTTGAGAAGAGTAGTCGAGTATTCGAGGAGTCAGTAACTAGCCCTCATCGAGTCCATGGCCTTCGGGCGGAGTGCCTTTGGGCGATGGCCCTCTGGGAAGAATTTGGCACCTAACCAGAAGTTTAGATGAGATTTTGGGTTTCGACTCGCGTTGCCACATGGTTTTTGAGGATTATTGTGGAGTTCGATTGTTCCATTTTTTTTATTATTCGGGTTTTGCGCTGAACGGCGAGAATGTTGCTGGTTAACGCGAGTTGATTAGAGTCGTGATTTTCTCTTTGCGTTAGACGTGGATGCGTGTTAGATTTCATGGGATTTGTTTCACATTTAATTCTATTTCATGGCGTTGACGAGAATTCGAGTCGTAGGATTGAAGTTCGCGTTAGACATTTCTCCTCTGGCTCTTTGTCTGCTCAATAATTATTGAGTATTGAAGAATATGTTTTTTTGTGAGATTATTCTGTTTTTTTCCAGTCTCCTTTGATTGTGCTCTTACTCTCAGTCTTTTTGAGATTAGTTGGTTTAAGTTAATTTAGTGTTTCTTTTTCTTTTACTAAATTATTTGAATATAAATTTTTTGAGACAATTGTGTATAGTTTTCCTATTTTTTTTACATGAATATAACCTCGATACATTACGCAACATTAACTCCGGTGTTTCGAGTTACGTTAATTGTTTTTTTTAGCAATATCTATTGGCCCATTTTCCATCCGAATCTACCCCTCTCTTCACAACCAACCCCCTGAGCAGCGCGGACAACCTATCACGTTCCCCTGGACTCCTTAGTTTTAAGTTTGTGTTAGATTAATGGTTATTTTCTGATTCCTTCGTTTTGTTTTTCGTTTAATGTTGGTTTATTCGGTTTGTCATCTCCGAGGTCGAAGGACGGCTGGCCCCCATCGATAAGTTTTTTTTTGAGGTTTCTCAGTCTAGGGGAAATGGGCGAGTTAACATGGCTTTCCAGTCCCAGATGGAGAATTTCGTTACAAAATGTTCAATGGAAAATATTCTATAGAAGAAATCAATAGAATTCAACTTTTCTATGCAACTTATTCTATATTCTAACTATAGGGCTTTCTTTCTATTTTAAACTTTCAACATTTATTTGTTCAACTTTGTTTTATGAAATGAGAAGAAGAATAGAGTGAAAGAAACTTAGAAAATTCATGCCGAGGAATTACTGTAGAAAATGTCTCCATAGAAAAAGTTATCTAGAAAGATGACATTCCAGTAATTTTTGCTTCCAAATGAAAGTATTGTAATCGTTCAAATTTAAGTTTTGCATTTTTTGCGTTATATCGATCCGTTATGATCGAAAAAGTGCGAAAATGCAATTTTTAGACCGTGTCCGTATGTATGCGTGTATGTATGCATGTGTGCAGTAAAGTTTTCCTCCAATTGTTCGCTAATGAATAGATAGAGTTGAATCTTCTTTTTTCAAATGTAGGTATTGTTGAGCCCTATCGATCGCCAGTAATAAAAATTTAATTCATTGATTTTTTTTTTTATTTTAGAATTTTTCCGAAAATCGGTCGTCCCACGTTAACTAAAAAAATTGTTCTAAATTGATTGAATGATGACTTAAAAATTTGCTTGCACCTCCCTTTGACCGCGTGTAAAGATGAAGGCGATAGCAATAATCGTTAATTTAATTTATTCGAAAATTTTTAAAAAATAATTGTTTTTTGAAAATCATAATTCCGGAGATATCTATGAATATCATGCTTCAAATGAATTCAATCATAGCATAACATGTTTTTTAGAATGCCATTATGTATGTCGAAGTTGGAAAATGATTACGATTAGCTATATTGGTTGATTTGATTTTTATGATGATTGTTGAAAATTTTTTATTTTCCATGGTTTTCCCTCTGAAAGTGAGCATACTGATGGTTTCTTTAAATGTGATGTTTCAAATTCATTCAAGTATGTGTAAATAAAATTTGTCTATTAACATTATATCGAAGGGCTGAGGGAAGAGATAGAACCGTAAAAAAAACAATCGGCTGTAAAGAAAAGAGATATTGAGAATAGTGATGCTGATAACATTCAACTAAGTTGAAAATCTGACAAAATTAGTTAAAACGAAATATTATTATATTTAATAAAATGAAATAAACAATTTATTATACAGGATCAAAGGAAATGATGCGCAAAATAACTATTTGGAAGCATATTACTAATTTATTAACCAAAATAACTGCTATATACAATACAAGAGCAATTTCCCACTTGTTTATATAAAAATTTCTATTCGACATTTTCGTCAGAAAAAAACGCGCAGTAATAAAGCTGCGGAAATCTTTCATATAATTGGCCAAAAAACTAATACAATTTTCAATAGAAAATGAATAGAATAATTCATACACAAAAGAATTCATAGTTTTTACTATGAATTTTGTTGTGTGTGTCACTTCTCTAAATGAATATTTATTTGGATAAAATAATTTTTATTCTCAATGTATATCTTGGAAATTACCTTGTTACTTGCTCTATCGATGTTCGTCCAATTATGATTTTTGGAAACATCTCTAATTGGAATGTGTGAATCTTTCATCAGATACCTCACGAGATTCAGTGTTATCACATAAATTATCATTGTGGAAACTGTTGGAATGAGTACTGTACCTAACCCATTTTCCCACATTTTGAGAGTGGATCCCTGTCGCTTCACTGGAAAAGATAAAATTTATTTTCGAAACTGGATTACGTACACAAAAATAGAGTAACATGAAATTCCAATTGAAGTAATGCTGATTATACCTGGTCTAAATAAATTTAATTGCACTTCTTTAACTCGCTCACAATTCCAGTTGAGAAATCCTCAATTATTCCTCGAGTAATGGATTTATAATTTTACATTCTTCGAATTCAGCTCTTAACTGTCCAGCACTGTAATTTCATTAAATTCATCGATTCCCCTTTCCATCTATAATTCATATCTGCAAATGTAGCTTTTTATAGCTTCTAATCCACTTTATAATTCAATTAGCCATTTACTGCAGCACAGTTGAGTTGATATTCACTTAAATGGAGAAAATTAGGGTGAATCAATATCGGTGATGTTGTTGCATTTGAATGTGTCTCGGTTCCAAGTGGTTTTCCGTAGTTAGATATTTAGACATACGGTACACCGCGAGTCGATCGACTCTTCACACTCACACGTACTTGTGGTAATTGCGCATTTCCCTTGCGCAGTTGTGATATATACACAAGTGTTATCAAACAAACTAATAAATAATTCAAAATGAAGACAATACATTACACTCGTTAAATTTTTTTATTCATTTTACATTTCACATATTTTCCCTCATATATGTGAACAATTAATCCTGTACAAATGCTCTGCACAAGAATTTTTGTGTCATTAATTATCAGTTTTTTATTTTTTACTCCAATTTCAAGTACAAAAAATCTCCAGAGATCAATGTTCATAGTTGCTTTCGTCTTTATAATATTTAAAACTTAATTTACGATTGAATCGATATTGCTTACAGCTGTCATGTCACGCTCACACATAAATAATAATGAGAAAGATTTTTGTTTTTATAAAAATCTTAAAATTAAAATGTTTGTAAAAAAAGCTATGTTGTTTATTCGATCGGAGAGCGAATAAAAAATTTATAAGTAAAAAACGATTCATTGAGTATGTTGAAGAATATAAATAGTACGACGTAAGGCGTAACACATCTCCACTCATTTCCGTTTCCGTGCGAAGTGGTGAGACAGGATGAGTCGACTATTGGGAGTTTTTTTTTTGAGATAAATATCTGGACCTAAAAGAGATTCTAGAGCTTTCATAACAGTTCATCGCATCCACTTTATCCCGGGCATTTCATCCCGGAATGACTGACTCTCACCCTCTTGGAAATTGATGTCGATTTTTTCTACGATTGGGGGCTAGAAAAACTATCTCTCAATTTTTTTTCAGATTTTTTCGACACCCCATTTCGGAGATGATTTTTTCTTTGTTTTTTCGTTTTGTTTTTCAATAACTCCAGTTCTATTCACCCAATTTTTATTTCTGACACGCCAAAATTTTCGATTTTCTACCATCTATAAGAATATTTTGAGTAATTTTTTTTAACCCCTAGGTGCTCATAATACCGAATTTTCAAAATAAAAAGTTGAAAAGCTAGGATTTTCAAAATTATGTCACGTTTTATTTTTCTCGTCCTTTTTCAGTAACCCATGTAATCAAAACAAGTATTTTGAGCCTCATACAAGTTGAGTTTTGTCCTAGATCTATTTTATTTTCAATTTTTTATTCTCGAAATTTCACGAATTTGGTCAAAATACCCCAAAATGGAATTGATTGAATTTGATTATAAGCAGTACGAGGTTCATTTAAATGTATACTTACATGTTACCTATCTTTTCAATACATAATCGACGAAGTTTTGGGGTGCTTTGACCAATTCGCTAAATTTCGAGAAGGAAAAATTAAAAATAAAACAGATCCAGGAAGAAACTCAACTTGTATGACAGCTCAAAATATTTGTTTCAATTATAAGAGTTATTGAAAACAAGATGACAAAAATAAAAGGTGACATAATTTTGAAAATTTAAGTTTTTCATTTTTTTTCGATTGGATATTATTTCCACGTAGAGATTAAAAAAAATTACCCAAAATCTTGTAGAAGGGGTAATGCCATACAAAAGGAAATAAATCATTCATTACCCAAAATGTTCTTATAGATGGTAGAAAATGGAAGATTTTGAAGCATCATAAACTGACATCGGCTGAATCGAACCCGAATTATTGAAAAAAAAAAACGTAAAAACTAAGAAAAAATCATATCTCCGAAATGGGCTGTCGAAAAAATCGGAAAAAATTAAGAGATAATTTTTCTAGCCCCCCAATCGTAGAAAAAATTTCCCACAGGGTGAGGGTCAGTCGTTGACTCATTTGGCATGGAATACCTCATATACGCTTACATATTTCTATCGTTTTTTTCATCAATCATCCGTTTATTTATTCATTTTGCATTAAATCAAATTCTTCATGTGTTTTGATAACTGCAATATGCTTGAATAATTTATAGAACTCCATTCAATGCAAATGAAATAAATTGTGTTACTGAATTAGAAGGTGATTGATGAGAAAAAAAATGAGTTGATTTGTAAATGATGATGAAAAAGTTCGGCGATGAACTATCCTGCTACCGTTCTAGAGCTATATTTTTCCAAAAGGAATTTCCTACTAATTATTTTAAATATAGTATTTCGGAAAATTATCAATATTATACATTTAAAAAAAGACAAAGTTGAGCAAATAATTCTTCAGAAAATCCGCATCATGCTTTCAATGTTTAAAGCAGAGGCATTTCATTATTTTTTGTGCAAATTTATTGATTTATTGAAAAAGAGCAAAGAAAAATGAGGTGAGCAAGAATGTTAGAAATAAAAATCAAATTTTCGCGGCAGTTTAGTAGTCATTTTCAGGACAATGTCGTTATTGAATTTCATTCGAAAGAAAAAACATGGAATTTCAAATTTCACTGAAAATGCAATGGAATCCTGTTTTTGAGCAGTAAAAAGTCAACAACTCTCCAAATTACTTGAATGTTCAATCAATACATGAATATCCATCATTAAATTACACAAATTTTTCAATGAATTCAAAGCTCAAAGATTTATTTATCTGAATTTTCATGTTGATCATTGACTTCCATGGAATAATTCAGTAGCGAAGTGGTAAAACGGTTTAAGTCGACTTATCTCCCAGATGAATTTTTGAGGAACATTTCCGAATCTAAGGGAGATAGCGAAATTTTCGTGATTACATTTGTTGTAGCTCTCAATCGGCTCTACACAAAAGATTATAACAAAAATTTCTCCATCTCCCTTAGATTCTGAGATATTCATTGAAAACTGGTCAATAGCCAAAATTTACTTGTACCGTTTTACTACTTCGCTACTGAATTAAACTGAAGTTTACACCTTCAATCCAATTTTCCATCAAAGTATAAATTCTCAATGACAACATTGTTTAAAATTCCAGTGAACTTAACAGTGCAGTAATAACTATTGCAAGGAGGAGTTATTGTCACCGAATATGATCGATTCAAGTTAGAAGATTACCTTGAGAACATTGCAAATCTGTCAATTTAAAACTAACAATTTTTCGATTTCTCCAAACTAATCATTGAATAAAATGACTTTGAAGTAAGCACTTTCTTAGAGTACTTTAACATTGCATGTTCATCTCAATGTTTGTCATTATTTCTTGTAACAAATTTTCGTAAAAAATTTAAAAAAACGAAATTTTGTAACAACGAACTGTTGGAAGAGAAATTTTACTCTAGCAATTCTGAGGGCGAGATTTTAGTGAGGAAATTTAAGGTATATCCCAAGATAATACCACCCAAAAGTTAGTCCCTATTTGTTTTTCTCAGTGTAAAAGCCGTCCTCTCATAAGGTGGAAAAATCCGATTCGGTGGCCCAAATCTCCGTGCTGCCTGTGTCTACCAGACGCCCGCATTTCATTATTTATCATCTCCTAAACTGTGCAGTACAGCTAGTTAGAATTTTTTTCAATATCTGGGGAATACTACTCCCCCAAATATCGTACGCGATCGGGCTTCAAAATTTTCGACAATTTTTTTTTGTTGTTCTTGATACTTATGTATAGAAACGAAGATTTATTGGTTAGCAGGGATCCCGCGGCTTAGAGGCGCTCCGCGTGATTAAACATTTTAGACTCGAAATTCTGCACTCTTATTTAACGTGTTGAAAAATGTTTGGAAAAAAAATTAAAAGCATAGTTTTTGATCGGAAGTTTTCAGAATTTTTCAAAACTGGTGGTGAGTTTTTTTTCCTCCACTTCAACTTCATGGTGAAAATCGAAAAATAAAACTTCAATCGTGTGATTTCAGCCTATTCCCCGCTTTCTTCTCTAAATTTGATACTTTTTTTTGGAAAATTCAGAAAATTTCCAATTGAAATCATCCTTGAAAAATGTGCGCTCATATGCCGCAGAGCCGAAGGAGAAATGAACAACAAAAAATAAATCTTTCGAAAATTGATTTCTCATGGTCTTTGCATATTATGATGTTAATAAGGAATAAGCAAGTACATTTATACGTCATACGTCAATAAAAAACACTATGTAATAATTTAAAACGCGGGAAATCCTCTTTTCTATATATAAGTATTGAGAAGAACCAAGAAAAAAAATTATCAAAAATTTTGAGGCCAGATCTCGTACGATATTTGGCGAAATGGTTAATATACATTATGTATGGAAAACATGGAGGCAATCGTAAGAAAAACCTGTTTTCTAGGGATATACCTTAATGTGGATTTCCCAAGCAAATGAACTCATCCCATTTCACCACTTCGCAAGTGCACTCAATGCCCAAGTGTCACATACAGGCGAAGCCCTGTCACTGCACTCTAACGGAAGATAATAAACGCTTGGACTGTTATATATCCATTAACAGATTTTCCGTCTCATCGCATAGAATACTTCAATCTCATTCCTTTAAAATTATATACAAGAATGTCTGAACAGTACGTAAAGCCTTGATATGTAAATCTAAAATAGTTGAGAAATTTTTTAAACTCTAGAACTGTATATTTTAGGCAGTTGAATTCTCTCTTCATGCTAAAATAATGTGTGAATCTCCACAAATATCATCAGTTTGCTCAAATACTTTGGCAGTCACTTACACCAAGCGCCCATTTGTGCTCCCACGGGTATTCCGTGGATAATTACTATATATAGTTTCTCGTAATTATTATTTCAGTTTTGTAGTCTTCCACTTGGAATGTAAATGCATATCTGCAAAACACTATTTCCTTAGAGTTAATATAAATATTCAGCTGTTAATGATAATCATTTAAACATACTGCGGCTTATACGAAAAATATTTTCTTCACGTACTAGTCTGTGCATTTTAATCTCAATTTTCATTCCCTTAGCAAAAATTACAGCTACATAATATGTATTCAATTGTACATATATCAAAGGCAGAGTACGGCATCGATAGTTGGCTCTCTATCATACAACACCGCACACTGAGAGGAGAAAGAATTTTCTCCAACAAGTCGTGTTTGAATTTAAAAATCGCAAGTTGAAAATTACCAAGAATAAAAAATCTCTTTCTCAAAATTTGAGGATTGTCCTGAGATGAAAAATGTTTGCTGCAGAAATAGATTTAGTTGTTCCAAGCAATTGGTATTGTCGGGGCAAATAAGAAATCTCACTCCTAACCTACCTATTCATTATTCAATACACATATGAACAAAATTAATAGAAAAACCTAGCAAATTCGCCAGACAAATCTATTGAATTTCCATTGAAGTTTCTATTAGCTCAGGCCAATTCTATTGAAATGATCAATAAAAAATCATCTATAGAAAAGGGCAATAGACTTCGATTTTTCGATACAACTTCTATTGAGATATTTTCTATAGAATTTTCTCTAGATATTTTATTTTATTTAGATATTTCAATAGAATTTCTTCCAAAATGTTTTTGTTTGATTTTCTTGATGAAAAGAAAAGGAAATTCTAATAAAATAAAATGAACTAAAATAAATAAAATAAAAGGTAATCGTAATAGAAATCCACTAGAATTGTCTCGCGAATTCACTAGGTTATTCTATTAAATTTTTTTGTGGGTGTATCAATATTCGATTCATGGGAAACAAGAAACTTTTTTGTTTCGGCTCAAAGTATTTTTATCCTGAAAACGACTGCTCCTAATAACACAAAGGTATTTCAAAGTTCATGCGAAAGTTCGTGTAAAATCTCACGTTTCCATTCTTCTGACAGCTGTACGAATAGTATGAATGTATCGACGGGTGCACATTGAAAGAAAAAATGAAAGATTTTCGAGGTATATGAGACATAAATAGATGTGAACCACGAACATTCACGTGATTTTCGACATACTCGTCTTACTGAGAATTTAAAAACGTCCATGTTTTAAATCTGACACTCTTAAGTCTGATACTTCATTATTGAAAGAATGAAACAATTTCTATCTTGGTATTTTTCGATGTCAAATTTTTTCGTTTCAAGCAAAAATTGTTTGAGAACACATGTGTCTCTCTCTCAGTGCAGTTACAGATATTTAATGCTAAATGATGCAATAATTATTGTTTTTTCCATTTATAAAACCTTCATACCTATCTACAAAGCCTATCAAGGCTCGATTATCGGTCATAATCTCTCCAGCAATTATTAAAAACCCCCCCGAAATAACTGACCCGAGCCAGCAAAATTGCCCAGTCCTTCCCATTACTGCAATTATAAAACAGTATAATTGATAATTGCACACCTCAGACTGACGTTTCCGAATTTAATCTCAGAAGGAATTTATTGGATTTTGGATGTGCAAGTTGTTCAGTCAAACTGAAATGTGGCAATCTGTACGCAGTGCACAGTAATGCGACTTCTCCCTGACGCAATTGAAATTCACAGCCCTGAGACAACGATCTCGATGGTAATTCACCCTCGCAAACGAGTGCCCAATGATGTGACTTTCTCTGGCGTTCTTTCTCATTGGATAGGACAGGGCTGGCAGTGAAGAAAGGTTCGAGGAATGCCTTGGGTGCAGCATCCTGTGCCAAACATCTTGCAAGACGTCCCAGTATCGATTCAACCGAATGCCTTGGCTGCTGTCTAGTTACTCTGAGATATTTCTGTAGGGCACGTGCCATTGATGGAAATACAGCTTGTGCAGCCTCCATGGGATCCATTGGGCCGGGATTTGGTGCCAATTCAGCCTCTGAATGCAGTCTCTTAATGTGAGCAAATGCCTCCTCAGCTGCTGTTATCAGTCTTGCTCTTCTCTTTCTAACTCTCCTTTCATAATCGTGCTCCTCGTAGAATCTCTCATTGTGAGACGAGTCTCTTCTTCGTGCCTGGGCTGCCAATACAGCTCTGTCTCCACCCCCTCGTTGGGGTGTTGGTGGAACATTTGCATTGACCCCACCATCGACATCGTAAAACTTGAAACTCGATTGCTTACGGCCAGATTTAGACACTGGGAGACGATCCAGGTAAGGATTGTACACTGGAAATTCAGTGTAGTATTTCTCCAATACCCAGACTGCTGCACGCTGGATTGACAAGTCACCTATTGCATACGATCGTGACTCTCCATCCGGCGATCTCACCACTTTAATGTAGAATGTTGGCTGGAGATGACGAATTTCAATTAGGAGGACTGCGACGTAATGGATGAAGAGGAGAGTATCCACAAATGTCCCAGCGTAATTGACTAAACTTTTGTACTCGGTTATCTCACCATTGGCCGCGGTTTTTGCACTCTCCGTCACCTAGAATTTTAAAAGGGTGGTTATTCGGGGAAATAATATTGTGAGGGTATTTTTGTTAATGGTAGGGACGAGGTTTCTTATGTTTTAACGTTTCAGAGTACTCAGATGGTGACGTTTTGGGGGGCATTGATGAAAAGGTTCCGGGTATAAAAAAATTATTAATTTCCTGTTGCATTATTTATGACGAAGAAGAATTGAGCGAATACTAATTTTCGTCGGACTATTCAGTACAGATTGGGATCCAGAAATGGAAAGATTATGTCAGTTATTTTGTAATGACCGTTTGTGAGAAGTAAAATAAAATTCATTGGAATGGGAGATTTATAGATTCAGATATCTTCATCAAAAACCCTAATCTTATATCAAGAAATTTTTTTTTTTTTTTTTATTCGTACAAAACATTCTTTATTTTTCCTACAGAGGGGGTCAATTAATAACGAAACGAAGTAAATGTAATTCAGTAGCGAAGTGGTAAAACGGTTCAAGTCGACTTATCTCCCAGTTGAGTTTTTGGGGAATATTTCCGAATCTAAGGGAGATACCGAAACTTTCGTAATTACATTTGTTGTAGCTTTCAATCAGCTCTACCAAAAAGGTTGTAACAAAAAATTTAATATCTCCCTTAGATTCCGAGATATTCATTGAAAACTGGTCAATAGTCAAAACTGACTTATACAGTTTTACCACTTCGGTACTGAATTGAATAAAAAAACCTCGGATTTGAAGATCGAGAGCAATGAGTTGGAATGATTCAATGATAATATAATGTAATAGTATATATAATATAATAATACAGTGATTAAAAAATCCCCATTGGCAGGCATATTCTCTTTGATTAAATTTTTCATACGTGTCCTCAGGGGATGCAATTGTCATCTCAGGACTTGGGGGAAAGTGGGGCAAAATGAAACAGTCGAAAAACGACAGTTTAACGCAATTAAAGTAGAAAAAAATTTATTAATTTTTTTTTATTAGCTTTTCTTTCTTAACTTTTTTATTATTGGGAGTATTGATAAAAATAATAATTTTCCATGCAGGAGATGTTTTGACGGAAGATTTTGTCAATGGATAATTGAAAAGAAAATGAAACGGCAAAATCCAAAGTCCAGAGGAAGGTCCAGGGGGCTACCCAGAGGAGGAAAAAGGAAAATGTGATTTCAATCGAATGAAAAAAGAAAAGTATAATCGCCCTGATTTAATCAATAGAATTATAGATGAAATATTTCGTATTACTTGAAATGAGAACTGTGGACAACATTAGTGAAAATTATTAATGTTGTCGTCCCGATATAAGAAATATATGAAAAACCTTCGGAAGTTTCGAATAAGTAGAGAACATAGACTCAACGATGACGAGGTTTTAGTTTGGCGGCTGAAGAGTCAGAGGACAAGCTGACTAGTGGACGTTGAGATCGAGATCTAACAGGGGAGGGGGATTTATCTATGGAGGTAGTCGATTTTTTCGCACCGCATGATTTTTTCTACCGAACAGAAAATTATTACTCTCATCAGGATTCCCAATAACAAACAAAAGTTAATTAAAAAAATTTGTTTTGCTTAAATTTCGTCAAATACACGCATGAAAAAATTTAATAGAAAAACGTAGGGAATTCGTTAGAAAATTCTATTGGATTTTTATCTATCTATCATAATTTAATAATTACCTGTACAACGTAGAATAGCCAATAAGAGCAGATGCAGAGTAACGTCAGCACAAGTACTCCAGCCCTGAATAAAAATACCCTGGGCATTGTTGCATTCCTAGGCCTGAGGAAAATAGCCCAGCTTCCAATCGCCAGTAACACTAACTTAAACGCCAAGCCGAGTAATTGTCCCTTGCACTCGGCATTGCACGATAAAAGCTGCAGTCTCTGTTGCATTGTTAATACCGTTGATGAATCAGGGAAGAAGCCCAATTTTGGCAGTACAACCATCGCAAGTGGACTCAAAAAGGCACCGACACCAAGTGCTGCAGCAACAACAGGTGCTAAGTATCTATTACATGTGAAATTAAATGCCCCGTCTGTTTCAATCGGCCAGTGACTGACATCCTCAGTTGATTCTGAACGGTCTGATGTATTTCCAGTCACGGCAGTTGTATTCTCCCCCCAATTTTCATCTTGGGGGAGAATTTGTACTTCGATAACTTCTTGCCCCACATTTTCTACACTATTCACACGAACATTTACGGTTGTTTGGAATGGCGCCATTTCACAGGAGTCGAAGGTCGGCCTTTCCTTGCGCTGACTTCTGTTGTTCCTGCTTTGGAAAGAGATTTATGGGCATTAATATCTTCCATTAAATATGGACCGCATTCAAAAGTTAACAATGATTTAATGGGAATTTTTCGTGACGTACTGAAACTGGAGAAATTAACCCATTTTGAAGATGAGTCGTGATCAATACATTTAGAGAGGAAAGAATATGTTCACAAACAAGTCTTGTTTTGAATGAAAAGAAAAACGCAAGTTGAAAATTACCAAGAGCATCTAAAGCGTATTCTGGATGAGAAATTTTTGTCGTAAAAATAAACGTATAAAAAAATTTCATAGAAAAATTTGTCGTTTTCTCGAAGAAATTCCATCGAATTTCTATTGGAACTCTATAAGAATTATTTTAGAGTTCTGTTAAAATGCTATGAAATTGATAAGAATTTCTGGGAAAAATTTTTTCAATTAAATTTTTTCACACGTGTGGATTCAGTGGTTTCAAAAAATAGTCATTTTTTGGACAAAAAAGAAACTTGATTTCTAGTGCTACCTATTCCACGAAATATATGAAACTTAACTTGAGCCAAATCGGGACCGTTTTCTGTAGATGCCACTTTACTCCATAAAAACTTCTACCGCAGACTAATCAAAAGCCTCATCTCCGAGGGAAGTAGTTTTATACAATTTGATGACTTAAGCACCGACTTGCATCATGAGTAACTTTGAAGTACTTTGGAGAAATTTATCAAGAGACCTTTTTCATAAGAAATTTTATGCTCAAAAAAAGGTCGTTTGTAATTTGACCTCAAACCTGATAGTTTCAGCGACATTTCAAAAATTATGTGTATACAATTTTTGAACTTATTCATTTCTTACTACACGATTGTTTCCATACTAAATCAATATTTGTTCCAGTTAATAAATATATAAAATTTAATTTAACCCAAACGAAGGATCTGCTCCATAAAAACTTCGTTGCAAAACTAATGAAAAACCAATCTTCAAAGGAAGTAGATTCACACTGCTTAACGATTTAATTACTGATTTGTATCGCTAATAACTTAAAAAATAAATGCATTGGAGGAATTTGTCAGAAGACTTTTTTTATAGGAGAATTCATGCTCTATAAAAAATTTTTTTTGTGGTTCGACTCTAAATCTGATAGCTTCAGAAATATTTGAAAAATTATGTAATATGTGATGTGTATTTTTTTAACTCAATCCATTATCGCTACAGAATTGCTTCAAAACTAAATCAATATTGATCTGAATTATGAAATATCTTAAATTTAATTTGATCCATATTACTGACAGGTGAGAGGAGAAGAAAGGCCAGTGTGGATGTAAAACAAAGAATACTTTTGTAACATCCAAGAGAATAAATTAAATTCAATAATTTGATCAATACGAAACTTTGTTGTAGGTCTCACTGCTCCACAAAAACTCATCTACAAGATTAATCAAAAACTAGTCTTCAAATGAAATCGATTCATATTCTTCATAACAATTCAGTCACTGACTTCTGCCATAAACTAGATAGTTTCAGAGATTTTTCCATAATTATGAAGCTGGAATTCTCAAATGAAAATTGTCCATTTTCATTTTGCTGCAGAGTTATTGGGTCCAATTTAAAAAATGTATGATTTCCTTTGACCCGAACAAATCTTCAAATAAAATCACATTCTCCATTCATAACTAAACATACACGTATGAAAAAATTTAATAGAAAAACATCGCGAATTCACTAGAAAATTCTATTGGAATTTTCTGGAAATTCTATTGGAATTCTACTCAAATTCTAGGGAATTCTCGTTAAAATTTTATTTGTTTTTTTTGTGCTGGTTCTATGATATTTGATAGGAAAAAGTCAACACATTTCGATTTTTCATTGTGAATATTCTCTTGGAAGTTTTTCTATAAGAATACTTGGGCATGAATTTTCCAAGTTTTTTTCACTCGAATCCTGTAATACAAAACAAAATATAACGGAAAAAACCTAGAAAATCTGCGCCCAATAATTTTAATAGAAAAAATCTCAAGAGAAAAATTCCAACAGCACAATCAATATTGATCTATTGACTGTTTCCTGTCAAATATCTAATAGAATCGGCGCACAAACAAAATAGAATTTTAATGATAATTTCCTACAATTTTAATAGAATTCCCATAGAATTTGTAGAGAATTTCAATATAAATTTCTAGCGAATTGGCTAAGGTTTTCTATTGAATTTTTTCATACGTGTGAAGCTGAAACCATCTGAATATTTATCAGCGAAAAACCTCATTTAGGGGTTTATAAATGTGTAAGGATCACACAATAATGTGTGCAAATGTTTTTCAAGTGCGAACGACTTTATACACGACTTAAAAATATTTCACCACCCGTAGATAGATTCGCCTGAATCAAATCACGCACAAAAAAAATTAATAGAAAAACCTAGCGAATTCTTTAGAAAAGTCTATTGGATTTCTATTGAACTTTCTATTAGTTTTTGGCCGATTTTATTGAAATGTTCAATAGAAAACATTCAATAGAAAAAGTCAATGGTATTCGATTTTTCTACATAACTTATGCGTTTCCAGTATTTTCCATAGAACTTTTTCGGCTCAAATTTTCAAACTTTTTTTCATTCTATGTTTCTCCTTTTCTCATCAAGAAAATAGAACAAAAAAATTGGAATATTTGAGCCGCGAAAATTCTATAGAAAAAATCTCAATACAATAAGTTGTAGGGGAGGTTGGGGTAAAATGGACACTTGATTTTTAAAAAAATATTAGTGTCGGGTTGAAATGTTGATGAAATTTGATGTTTTTTTTTCAATACAAAGAACAATTCTTTCCCTTTGTGATGAGCCTAAACTGAGCTCTATTAATACATTTGTTTCTGAGTTATGAATAATTTTAAAAATGTCTAAAGTATCCATTTTACCCTACCCTCCCCTATAGAGAAATCGGAATTTATCTAAATATGGTATCTAAAAATCGGAATCTTGACTCTTTCTATTGAATATTTTCGATTAAATATTTCAACAGAATCGGCCACAAACTAATAGAAAGTTCAGTAGAAATCCAAAAGAATTTTCTAACGAATTCACTAGGTTTGTCTATTAAATTTCTTCACCTGTGATCTTCTACTGGCGAATCTTGCACTAGTTCCAGTTTCATCAATTGAACAGATATCAAATTCTCGTGTATCACAATTACCTGGAATTTCGATGAGAATGTTGCCTATGATGCTGTGTCTTATTACTGTGTGACCGATAATGTTTCGATGAACTCCTACTGTGGTGGCTGTGGCTATGCTCGCTAGCCCCTGACTTTATGCTCTCTGTCTCCATACCACAGCATTAGATACCACAATATTACCCCAAAACATTCCCCCTAGACAGAACACAAACCCCGCGCTCATGCACTGACATAACAAATCTAAAAGTTGATATCGTCCTTCATATCGCCTCCCGAAACCAGTAGAAAATCCTTGTCAGCTGGTATTCCTCCAGATGAAGCGCCTTCCTGGCATAGTGTATGCTGAACTGTCGGCCTTTCCGGTCTCAATTTCTCCCCGTGCAGCTTTCAACACTAAAACCAAACTACTCTTCACTGTAAACCATCATAAAACAAATTCACCGCACTAAAATCTCAGAAATAATCCCACCACCAACCCCAGTAACAGCAAAGAACGATTCATTTTTGTTTTATAATTACAATTTAAAAAAAAAACAGACGCCGACACGCCTCACATTTACGACCGTCAGTCACCCCCTTTGGGATTCCTCTCATAATTTTCATTGAAGGGGACGACCGGTAGAGCAACAGAGAAGGGAGAGAAAAAACGTGAGATCTAGGGGATTCTCGGGACTTTCAGACGAATCCTCATGCATCAGCCCCCGAAAATTACGAGTTTATCGTCCATTAGAAATCAATCCACAGGAGAATTCACAGTCTTGCGAAGGGGGGTGACAGTGTCTTGCAGTCCGTTCCGCTAATGTCGCTCACCGTAGCGTGGCGCTACTTGTCTTGTTCGCCGGATTTAAAGGCTCACTTATTCTAGTGCTTAGAAGAAATTCCAAGGGGATGTTTAGCGCATTCATTAGAAAATTCTTTTTAATTTTTGTTAAACATTTATTGAAAATTCTATTAGTTTTCGTAAATTCTATAGAGAAATCCAGCAGCGATTCTATGCGTTCTTTCCAGAAGAAATGTTCAATAGAAAATATTCTATAGTAATAATAAATAGATTTCATTTTTTCTAAGTTTTTGCTTCCGAATGGAAGCTTTGCAATCCTTGAATTTTTCGATTTTCTAATTTTGCCTAGAAATGATGTAGAATGGTCTGAAATGTAAAAATACGAAGTTTGGCGACAATGTCTGTGTCCCCCCCCCGCAACTTTTTGGAAATTAGGTTTTAGAAAATACAACACTAAGAGGGCTAAAAAAATTCAAAAAAATTTGAAATTTTGGCAGATTATAGGTCCTTACTAGGACTAACTCTGGGCACAGGATCAGCTCGATCGGTCCAGTAGTTCCTGAGAAAAAGCCATTTCTTTTTTAATCTTTTTTTGCAAATATCTCAAAAACTAATCGGCCGATTTCATTTTTTTTTTCAAAATGTTCGTCTCAACTCCCTCTATCTGGATCAATCGAAACCTATATAGCCGTTCCCGCAAAGTTTTTGAGATATTTCCACTTTTCTGTTTTTTTCCAAAAATCGTTGTACGCTCTCTAGCCTTCGCAAAAATGGAGATAGCAACTTCAAATTTGGACAGGATCTCCGTCTTATGACAAGGACGGTTGGGATTGACACTGGGCTGAATCGGCCCAGCAGTTCCGGAGATATTCTATTTTTTACGAAAATCGATTATGTGTAATATCTCGAAAACTAGTGGACCGATTTCACTTTTTTTTCAAAATATTCGCCTTGTTTGTCTTTTCATAAAAAAACTTGTTCGCACGATAACTTGAAAAAAATTGAAATAGCGAGTTAAAATTTGGTATGGTATTAGCTCTTATAATATTAAAGGTTGGTATTCTGGATGGGCGCAATCGGCCGAGCGGTTCTTGAGATGTTTAACCTTTTGTGTAATTATGTTTTATCAAATATCTCACAAACTACTGGACGGATTTCAATTTTTTTTCAAAATACTCATCTCCACGGCCACTATCTAGATCAATCAAAATATATACATGTGTCCATACAAAGTTTTCGAGTAATCGTCGTTTTTCTTTTTTTTTTTTTTTCATTTTCGTACGCACGATACCGCGAAAAAAAATGATGATTGCAAGTTGAAATGTGGTAAGACCACGGCTCTCATAGTATTAAACGTTCGTCTTTTGAATGGGCGCAATCCATCGAGCGGTTTCGGAAATATTCAAATTTTTATGAAAAACTATTTCTTCAAAAAGTTGAAGAATCATATATATATATATGCCTGTCGCAGGGACAGAAAATCGCCACGAATACATTCGGAAGCTTACTACCAATGGAATTGGTAGAAGAAAAAATAATGATGATAATAATAGCGTAAAAAGTAACGGTCAAATGTCTTCTGTCAAATAAGCTCGAACTCCTGCTTGCTTTCACTCTTTTTTCTTCGCGCCTCCTTATGGAAAATCAAACACAAAGTCATTTGAGAGATTTAGGCCAAGAAATTTCTATAGAGAATATGTCAAAAATATCAATTGCATATGGGATATTCCATGTGAACTTACCCAGGTCAAAACCCTCACCATCGCCAATCATATTGCCGATTTTTCCTGTGGTTGTATATGAAAAAATATGACTTCTCAAGTTTTTTCAGATTTTTTGAGGCATCCTGTGGGCATCCATGTTTTTTTGCAAGTTTTATCTTCAAATGCCTGTAACTTCCGTAAAAATCAACCGATTTGGGTTTTTTTTTACAAAATGTGCGTCTTCGAACACACTTTCCATATAAAAATATGTCAATTTTTTTCAATTCGTTCTTCCATCGATTTCCTCAGAAAAACCTCAAAAAACTTCAAAAAACGAGTCGTTTTCAAAGTTGGACCCTTTTTATATTTTTCAAAAAATTTCAGTGAACGTATTGGACCAAAATAGAATTTTTCACCAAAGGCCAAAGCGGGATCTCTATTAGAATACACCACTCGGAAAGATTTATTGTTAACGAATTTTAAAAAAATCATCAAATTGGTCCAGATTTGAATATATAATACAGTGATTCTTCAGGCGGTAAATTCAAATAATGCTTCTGCGTTCAAATGCGAAAAGAATTTTGAAATTTTTCATCCCGGATACATATATTCAAATTGGAAATGACGGTCACGAAATGGGAAGCCCACTTTGGCCTTTGGTGAAAAATTTTGTTTTGGTCCAATATATTCACTGAAATTTTTTGAAAAATATAAAAAGGGTCCAACTTTGAAAACGACTCGTTTTTTGAAGTTATTTGAGGTTTTTTTGAGGAAATCGATGGAAGAACGAATTGAAAAAAATTGGCATATTTTTATATGGAAAGTGTGTTTGAAGACGCACATTTTGTAAAAAAAAACTCAAATCGGTTGATTTTTACGGAAGTTACAGGAATTTGAAGATAAAACTTGCAAAAAAACATGGCTGTCAACAGGAAGCCTCAAAAAATCTGGAAAAATTTGAGATGTCATATTTTCCATATACAACCACAGGAAAAATCGGCAATATGATTGGCGATGGTGAGGGTTTTGACCTGGATGAGTTCACATGGAATACCCCATATAGAGATTGAATTTCATCAATTTCTTCCATAGAATATTTTCTGTTGAACATTTCTGTTGGAAAGGAGGTACAGAAAAGTGGCGGAATTTTTCAACAGAATCAACGGAAAAGGAATAGAATTTTGGATAAAAGTTTTATAGACATTTGTAAAGAAATTTTCTGTTTTTCTATTGAATTTTTTTGGGCTTAGGGCCCCAGATATCCGTTGATAGGAACTATTTGTAAAATAGAAAATGACAGGCATTATTTTAATTATTAATATATTTATTTGTCAATTACAAAAGTAACAATATAGCTGAACATCAGGTCGAATTGAATTTTGTTGATTTTCGATTCAACTGTGAAATCCTTCCCTCTTCTGCATTCATGCGAGAGCAATATTATTGCATACGCTGGGTGAAAATTGTGACGGGATGGCACCTGGTTTCAACCGGGGCCAGGAGTACTGTCCCTGAACGGGCCAAAACAATTGATCGATAAATAGAAATTGCAGAGGAGGAATTACAGAAACAGTTTGCTGGTGTATAATACTACTTATTACACCAACTACTGCTCCATCCGGTCCCCGGAAAAATTTCTTAGTATTTATCTCTTATGGCAAAAAATGTTCATCACATACAAATTGTGTGGAGGCCGTAGAGGCCAAAACCGCCCTACGGGTGGCATCTCACCACTGTTTTAGACTGAGAGAAAAAAAAACACGTTCTCAAACAAGTCTTGTTTGGGCCAACAAAATCACTACTTGAAAATTGCCAAAAAAAATTTGTTTGGTTCCAATTTGAATGTCTCTAACATGAATAATTACTCTGTTTTCAACAGCAACGAAATATTTGGCTCAAGAGGCGGATAATTCACACCATACGGTGCCTTTTCAGGATGAAAATATCTCATGTAGAGGAAAATTTATCAACAAATCAGTAGCGAAGTGGTCAAACGGTTTAAGTCGATTTTGGCTATTGGCCAGTTTTCAATGAATATATCGAAATCTAAGGAAGATAACAAAGTTTTTCTCATAACCTTTTTAGTAGCACTCAATTCGCTCTACAAAAAAGGTTTATTTGGTGAATGACTAGATTTAGGGTGGATGTGGGATGAAAATGTGGAGGGAACTGTTGGGAAAATTACTGATGAGCTGGATTTAAAAAATCACACTTTATTTTGTGGGATCGAACCACTTTGTCAAAAGTATTTACATTCTTTGGTAATTTAATTGTTGAATGTCTAATTATACTGATAATTGTCTTTCACTGTTAATTCATTGAGTCACTGAATGTAAACTGAATTTAATCAACAGAGGTGATGTACTGAACAAAACGGTGATCTTACAAAGACCGGTGATGTACTTGATTACTAGTGAGCTAGGTGAGGTTCAAGAAGCTACTGTACTCGGTGAGGTGCGATATAAAACTTGTACAGGTGATTTGCCCGAGATAGACTTGTATGGTGAGAGGCTAAGCCTAAACCTGATTCGCGCGTGTTTCGGTGACTTATGACTGATGACCCAAAGGGTCCCGGAGATTTTCGAAGTAGGCCGATGGTCGACCAGAATGTTCTGGAATTTTAGTTTCGTTTCAAACAAGGTTATTATGGAAATTTCGCAATCTCCCTTAAATTCGAAAATATTTCTGGAAAACTCAACCACTAAACCACTCAACCACAAAGACTAAATTGACCTAAACCATTTGACCACTTCGCTACTGAAATATTTTGTCCCTAAATTGCAAGATTGCTATCATATTATTATTGTTTAATTTAAGGGTTAATTTCTTGTCTGCGATTACTAGATAGCCGAAACGAAAAACTACTATCCCTTGTTTCGGATAAAACAAACATTTTTCGAGACAAAAATACGTATGGGACTGTCGGATAACGAAGGAGTAGTGTTAGAAATAACATTTCTTACGTGGACAGAGAATGCAATTTCTTTTAACTACTAAATCTATTTTTACGACAAAAATTTTTCATCTCGGCGCACTCTCTGCAGCTTGGCACAAAAAAATCCTTTTTTTTTATAATTTTGAAAAAACTAGTTTCTTAGCGCAAGTAAAACTTGTTTGAGAACTTTGTCGTTTTTTTCTCAGTGTAGCGATGTCGGGTCTTGTGAAGCATTAAAAAAATATTCTTTTTCGGGATTCATTTCAGATCCACGTGCACTCTTTCACAGCACAGATGGACATTTTATCTAGGTCAACCCTTCACCATGAAAACAGGAAAAAACTGCTGTTTTCATACATTTCCCAAATTGAACTTCTTGCTAAACAAGATCTATGCGCGCGCTCTCGCGCGCGCTGCTCTATTCATTTGTTGAAATGAAGAAATGGAATTCATTGAATTTCATTTTCTCATGAATACCTTATAAATAGTGATAATGACTCAAAGAGAATTCGACTAATGATTGAAGTGAATAGCGAAGTAGAGTAAAAGAATCTATAAAGAATTTTTCATTTTCAATTAATTATCTTCAATTCTTTAAAATAATCGGTCTTCATAAAAGGACAGAAATTATTAATTTCACCGATGATATATATGTATGCATGTGAAATATATATATTATATATATGACGTGAAAAAAAAATTCACCACTGAAGAATTTGAAATTATGTCACTAAAGAATTTGAAAATGCCGCGTGTTTTTTTTTTTTGTGAATACTTCGGGTGACCAATCAGAATTAAGGATTAGCGGTCAGGCAGTTTCGAGATATTTCGATATAAAACAACTTCACGTTTCTTTCATCTTTAGTGAAATAGGATTTTTCAATTCTTTTCAGCAACGAGCTCACATATTAATGTAAACAATGGGAATCAAGGTGCGAAGGTTATGTAGTACGTTAATTACGCTAGTTACGCTGACATCAGCACGCAAACATGACAGGTAGTGCCACGAAATCGGCGTCACACGGGACGGGATAATCTAAAGGCAAAATGCTATAGTGTCACCCCCCTGCTCTGGGGGGGCAGCACCGCCTGGAAACCGCCAACGTGACCCTCATTCACACAAACCAAACAAACCCTCTTCACCCATTGGTCGACGCGTCGATGGACCCGTCATTCCCACCCTTCCCACCCAAACCTGCATATGAATGATCATGCGTGAGATTGTGGTACAGTAGTAACTCGAAGCGTCTCGTGAAAATTCTCATGGCTACCAGTGCCCGAGCTGCCCGAGGGAAACGAAGAGAGGGGGAAGTGAAAACGTAAATGGCGTTGGTACTACCCAGAATTTCGTCGTTGCCTCTGTTTGTGCTTTGTGGTAGTGCTTACCTTGGATCGCCGCTGCCAATACTCCAAATTTTCAGAGGCTAAAATACTTCAAGTCAGTGCTGACAACTTTTTTGTTATTTAATGTTTGCGTTCTGCTTAATTTCTCCACTTTCATTGAATTGTTTCGAATAATACATTATCATTAGAGATGAATAACATTGGATTGTTGAATTGTTAAACACGCGACATTTGCGGGGATTTGGAAGAATTTTCGAGGGAACGGAGTGCCATGATGGGATCATTGAGACGAGATAGAATCCTCATGTGATATTTAATATTCACCGTGAAATAATGAGTTGGGTGGACTGTTTCGGGGTCGAGAATTGGATTTTTTTGGGATATTTGAATTCATCTTGGGTATTGGAATTTTTTATTCTTCATGCTATTGTGGAATTTCTGCATGCTTTCAGCGAATGCCGAATGAATGATTGAGTCCATCCCTTATCTTCGGATATTCTTTTTTTTCAATTGACTAGAATCCAGGAAGATGACGAAAGATGCTGAGAAAGACTCCAATCACTGCCTGATATGTAATGAGAAAATCGCTACAACGTCTGAGAATTGTGTGCGAATATTCAATAGTGATGATAAAGGGAGAGGAAAACCACTTGCTGAAACCATATGCTGTTTGCTGGACATTGACATTACAGCTGATAATGTCCATTCCACTGTTTTGTGTAAAAAGTGTCAGGAGTCTTGTCAGGAGGTAGGTTCTTGGTTTTACCGGCGCTTTCTTCTTCATTTTCCTTCACAGGGAAAATAAGTTTTAGTTTTTAAGGATTCATCAGTTGTTTTCATTAATTGATCCTTAATTTTTGGAAATCTATCTCTAAATTTTCCGAATTTTTATCTTTAATTCTTGGGAACTCTTTTCTAAAATTTCATAGAAATACCTAGCAAATTTTATATAAAATTCTATTGAATTTCTATTGGACTTCTGTTGAAAATTATGTTTATTTTTGGCTGATTCTACTGTTCCTTGAATCAAATAAAAATCTATATTTGAAATTTTTACTTGTTTCAAGAATGCTTTTGTTAGAAAGGAATAAACTTGTTTATTTGTTTCAAAAGAAAGGATTTGATTATTTCAAATGAGTTTTCTTCATCTATTTTGTAAAGAAAATTCGAAATTATGTTTCAACCATATTCGCGGGATATATATATAGAAAAGGACCATTTCACTTCGCCTCATTTTCCCCTAAAAATTATTGCATTTTTCTCTTTCAATTCTTTTGAGTCAATTTCAATTCCGAAGCGATAATAACTTATTAGTATCAAATAAATTTCTATTAAGTTCGAAGAAAAAAAGTATTCATTTCAAATCAAGAAATTTTCTTAATATAAGAAAAATATTTATTATCAACAAAGAATTCATTTAAATTTAACATAAACAGAACGTCAAACAAAGAAAAATTTCTAATTTCAATATAAATTTTATCTGATTTAAATAAATCATTTCTCTCGGTGTACCCTGCGTTTTTTATAGAAAATGTCTCGATGAAATTCTACTGATTTTTTCAGTGAAATAGCTTCTATTGGACATTTTCTAAATAAATATCCCTCGACATAAATTTTCCAAGTTGGTTCCACTCTATTTTGCTTCACTTTTCATTACAAAAATGAAACAAAAAACTTGGAAAATTTTAATCGAGGAGTTTCTGTAGAAAATATTTCAATAGAATAAGTTGTATTGAAAAATTGAATTGTATTAATTGTTTCTGTAGAATATTCTCCATTGAACATTTCTATTGAAGAAAAACAGGTAAATTGCGGAACTTTCCAATAGAATCAGTCATAAACTAATAGAAATTCCAATAGATTTTTCTAGCAAATTCGCTAAGTTTTTCTATGAAACTTTTTCGTACGTACAATCACTAAAATTTAGCGATAAAGTCCCTAAGATTCATGATTCTATCGCTGAAAATTAGTGATAAAGTCATTTGATTTGGTCAATTCTCATTCGTTCAATTTGAAAATGCTTCAGATGCCTAAAAAATAAAAAAATAATGTCCATCAGACACGACAAAATGCAATAGAAAAACCTGGCGAGTTCGATTTTTCTTTACAACTTATTCCATTGAGCTATTTTCTATAGAGTTTCCTTGACTCAAATTTTCTAAGTTTTGCGTCCGAAGGGAAGCATTGTAATCGCTCAAATTTAGGTTTTAGATTTTTGGTGTCAAAACCCGCGTGTTTACCGCCCTCAGCTTCGCCTCGGGCAGTAATCCACACGCGGGTTGGAATGTCCTGTTTCCCTTCTCAGGTGCACATTAGTATATTTCTAACCTAGGGAGGGAAAATAAAGGATCCTCAGCCGCCAGTGCAATTACCAGCCGAGCCGAAGACGAGGTTGGTAAGCACGCAGCTGAGGGTCCTTTATTTTACTTCCCGTGGTTAGAACGCGATTTTCCGTCTCGGCGTAGGCGCAAAGTCAGAGTTCCCTCCCGCGAAGCGGGAGGGAAATGTAACTTTGCGCCCGCCGAGACGGAATATACTATTTCGTCATAACTGCGCCATATAGTTCGATTTTCCTCCCCAAATGACGGGAGGAAAGTGGGTTAGGCCATTTCGAGGATCGTCCAAAACAACAGAAATCTGAGGAACGAAATAAGCCATTTTGCTCCCGTCATTTGCGGAGGAAAATCGAACTTTCCGTGCAGATACAACGAAAATGCAATTTTTAGACCGTGTCCGTACGTATGTAAACAAATTTTTCTTCGATTGTTCGCTAATGAATCGATGGAATTGAATATTTTTTTTCTCAAATGTAGATATTGTTGAGCCCTGTCAATCGTCATTAATTGAAATTTAATTTATTTATTAATTTTTAAAATTTTTTACATTCTTGAGAAATTGGTTTTTTCACGATAACTAAAAAAAAATACCTTGACAATCAGAATTCCCAGGATATCTTTGGATATCAAGCTTCAAATGAACTCAATCATAGCTTGAAATGTTTGTTTGAATGTCATTAAGTCGAATTTGAAATATACTTACGATAGCTATATTTGTTGGTTTGGTTTTTATGATGATTGTTGAAAATTTTGAACTTTTCATGAATTTCCCTGAAAGTGAGCTTTCTGATGGTTTCTTCAAATGTGATGTTTCAAATTCATTCAAGTATGTGTAAACAAAATTGTTCTATTAACATTTTATCGAAGGGCTGAGGGGACAGATAGAACTATAAAAAAGGCAATCGGTTGTATAGAAGAAAAGGGATAATAAGAATTCAATTAAGTTGAAAATCTGACAAAATTAAGTAAAAGGAAATCTTATTCTATTTAATGAAATGAAATAAACAATGAATTATACATGATAGAAGCAAATGATGTGCAAAATACCCATTCGGAAGCATATTGCTAAGGTATTCGCAAAAATCACTGTACTATATTCAAAACAAGAGCAATTTTCCACTTGTTGCTTTTTCATACGTGATCACTTGGCCGAAAAAAACTTTTCTAGCTCATATGAGTCCAGCCCTCGTCTTTGGCTCATGCTGGGAACTCATATTCGCCATAAAGGTTCCTTTTGGCCTAGCGATGAAAAATACTATTTTATCTGTGTTGAGGAAGTTTATAATTTGAATGTTTCGGTTTAGTTCGAGGAGATGGAGAAGAAGATGATGGAGATCAAGCAGGAAGTTTCGAACCATTATCAGATGACTGTCAAGGAAATTTCGAAGTTGAATCCTCCTGGGGATGAATGTAATGATCATGATTATTTAGATGGAGTTGAACATCATATTGTTGAAGAGGAAGAACACGATGAGAAGGAAATTAAGGAGGATCCCAAGACGGAACAGCCAGATACTAAGGATGCCCTTGATACTACTATGGAGGAGCATTTGGATGAGGTAGAAATGAAAAATGAAGTGATAATCATTACAGGGATCCATTTAGCGTTTGGCAACAACAAAATTCATTCAATACCGGGTGTTAATGGAGTTGAAAATCTCAAAATGCGGTGGAAGAGAGTCCAAAGTTATCGCATTATATTTCCAGTTAATAAATTTCCGATACACTTGAAAATTTTTATTAAGTGACAGTTCCATTGAAACCTAAGAGGAATTTCATCCGTGAAAATGCACAATTTAATGAAAAAATCTATAAAAATTGGATCAAAAAAACATATCTTCAAAATGGGTTATTAAAAAAATCTGAAAACAATTGAGAAATAGTTTTTTTAGTTCCTCAATCGTAGATTAAAAATAGAGATCAATTTCCAAGTAGGTGAGGGCCAGCCGTTGACTCATTTGACATGGAATACCTCATATATAAAACTAGTAGAGGTTCAGGAAAAAAAAAGGTTAAGAAATCTATTTTTGAAAAACAACAAGGATCTTTCGACATTTTTGTCTGAGTCTCCTCGATTCAGAGAGAATTGTAGATCGATATAGTAGTAGGGAATTAATTAGAAATTTTCCCACTGATGGTTCTCGTCTGATAATTTTGTTCACAGCAATTTTTGCAAGAAGATACGGATCATGCGGAACAGACTAAAATGACGGAGGTATACCTTGACGAGTCAATCAGCATCAAGTTTGAAGATGAATGCGATGCACTGAAATTGACTAAAGCTGAAGAGAGGAAGAGGAGAGACGGGAGGAAATCAAAAGGGAATTCAAGGGACGACGCTCGAGAACCGGTAAAATTCTAAACAATGCAGTAGGAAAGCGGTACAACAATTCAAGTCGACTTAGCTCTTAGCTCAGTTTTCGAGGCATATCTCCGAATCTAAGGAAGATAGCGAAATTTCCATGAAAAGATTTTTCGTAGCTCTCAATTTGTTCTACAGAAAAAGTTATGAGAAAAATTTTGCTATCCGCCTTGCTGTTAGTGTGATCTCTGAGGAAGAACTATTCGGTCGTTAATATTGACGTTTTTTCTGTTGTTTGTGTCCAATTTAATGCTATTTCTTCATACATAACTGGTTTAGATATAAACGAGACTAAGTATTAATCGAGTCTTGAGCCTACTGAAGCTAAAATAATTCACGAAACGTCGTAAACTGACAATTAGATAAATGTCGTTTTCATTTATCTCCAACATCTTTTGATATTTTTGGATAATCCACCTTAGATTCCGAGATATTGCAAACTGACCAATAGTCAATATCGATTTGAACCGTTTTACCGCTTTGCTACTGAATTATCAATGCACAAAAAAACTATATCAAGGCGAGTCATGACATGTGTAATATGCAATTTAACAGTGAAATGGTAGAGTATATCAATGAATCTTGAAGAATAGTAATGAGAAAATATCAGTCTAGGAAAAACCGATTCAGTGGAATAAACAGTCTCGAAAAAAAAAAACCAAACCGCCTTTTTTCGCGCTCGTTTTAGCATGTAATCGGTGCGCGATCTTTTCTTTCCACTGATTTTTCTTTTGCCTATCAGGAAATATATCATGATGCAGAAGCAGAAAAATTTTTGTAGAGTAAACTGAGATCTGCAGACGAGGTCTTTACAAAAATTTCCTTATCTCTCAAAGATTCCGAGATATTTTCAAAATTCAATTGGAGTTCAATTAACTCATCTTATTGTCTCCACTGAGTAATTTTAAATTTTTTTTCGACTGAGAAATTTTTTGCACTGAGAGAAAGAAAGCATGTTCTCGAACAAGTCTTGTTTGAAATGAAAAAAAAGAGAACCCATTTGGAAGCAAATTGCTAATTTATTAGCAACAATTACTATACTCATTTATGAATCAAGTGGGAAATTGCTCTTGTATTGTATATAGTATAGTTATTTTTGCTAATAAATTAGCAATATGTTTCCAAATGGTTATTTTACACAGCATCTCCTTCGATTATGTAGAATTCAGTAGCGAAGTGGTAAAACGGTTCAAGTCGACTTATCTCCCAGTTGAATTTTCGAGGAATATTTCGGAATGCAAGGGAGATAGCGAAATTTTCGTAATCACATTTGCTGCAGCTCTCAATCGGCTCTACAAAAAAAGTTATAACAAAAATTTTGTCATCTCCCTTAGATTGCGAGATATTCATTGAGAATGGGTCAATAGTCAAAACGGACTTGTACCGTTTTACCACTTCGCTACTGAATTCATTGTTTATTTAATTTCATTGAATTGAATAAGATTTCCTTTTACCTAATTTTGTCAGATTTTCAACTTAGTTGAATGTTATCAGCATCATTATTCTTATTATCCCTTTTCTTCTACACAACCGATTGTCTTTTTACAGTTTTATCACTCCCCTCAGCCCTTCGATAAAATGTTAATAGAAATATTTTATGACATTTGAAGAAACCGTCAGAAAGCTCACTGTCAGGGAAATTCATGAAAAATTCAAAATTTTCAGCAATCATCATAAAAATTAAATCAAGCAATATAGCTATCGTAATTATCTTTTAACTTCGACTTAATGGCATACAAACAAACATTTTAAGCTATGATTGAATTTATTTGAAACTTGATGTTCAAAGAGATCCGCCGAATTCTGATTTTCAAAAAATACAAAATTTTCGAAAATTTTCGAATAAATCAAAATAACGATTATTGCTATCGCCTTCATCTTTGAACTCGGTCAAAGGGATATCTAAACAAATTTTTGAAGCCATCATTCAATCAATTCAATACATTTTTTTAGTTATCGTGGGACAACCGATTTTGGAAAAAATTAAAAAAGTAGTCGATGAATTAAATTTTAATTAATGGCGATCGATAGGGCTCAATAATAGCTACATTTGAAAAAAAAGTTTCAAAATCATCTATTCATTAGCGAGCAATTGATTAAAAACTTCACTACACACATACGTACGGACACAGTTTAAAATTGCATTTTCGGACTTATTGAATCATAATGTGTCAATATACCACAAAAAATCTAAAACTTAAATTTGAACGATTACAATGCTTCCATTCGGAAGGAAAAATGCCATTGTCCACTTGTTTTATTTCAAAGAAGACTTGTTCAACATGTTTTTCTTCTCTCATTGCAGCTAAAAAAAATTTCTTGGCATTTCTTGCTTAATTGACTGCTTTTCTATATAAATTCAGAATTGACAAATGTCGCACTCTTGATTAAAACTAGTTGACCAGCTTATTATTACAATATACATAAGTGAAGGCAATCATTTGAATAATTTCGTCAATAACTTGCAGATTGTATTGAAAGTTGACAACACCTACACGTGCCTGATCTGCCCCACGGATGATGGGGTAGCGTTAACAGGTGATGCTAAAGAAATCGTCACCCACATGAAGACAGCTCACGAGGCCCGACTATACATCTGTGACATTTGTGGCCTTGACTTTAGAAAAAGAAATGAATTATCGATTCATCTTGACGATCACGTTGCAAAAGAGGAGGGTGACTTCCAGTGCGAAGTCTGCAACAGGATATTCAGCAATTTGAGACTATTCAGGATCCATCGGAGAATACACTATCCTCAAGTGAAATCGTGGCCTTGTGAGACATGTGGCAAACGTTACAGCTCTAGAAATTTGCTTGATGAACATGTTAATACTCATATTGGGGTGAGACCGTACATTTGCGAGACCTGTGGCAAGGATTTTGCATCCAAGTATACGTTCAAGGCACATGTCAAGACCCACGAGATCCGCCCGAGGCCTTTCGAATGTACCCAATGTAACAAAACCTTCCTGAGTCAGCAGAATCTCAATCAGCACGAGAAAACGCATCTGGGAGTTAAGGAGTATATCTGTCATCAATGTGGTGAGTGCATGCATACACTTAGGGTGTAAAGTGAGGTTTCAAAGAGGGGAAACACTTGAAATAGTAGTTCATTACTTCAGCGACTTACACTAAGAGAAAAAAAACGGTTTTCAAATATACAGTCACGAAAAAATTTTATAGAAAAATCTAGCGAATTCGATAGAAAATTCTATTGAATCTCTGTTGGAAATTCCGTCAATTTTGGCCGATTCTATTGAAGGATTCCGCAGCTTTACTGCCTGTTTTTTTCCAGAAAATGTGTTCGAATAGACCGCAGTGAAATTTGGAAGTCTCTGGATATTATAGAGACGTTTGTAAAAATTGGGAGAGCACCCGATGCATAATTGGAAGGTCCCGGGTTCAAATCCCGGTCTGAACTATCCATTTTTTCAGTAAAAATTTTCTGGTTATTCATATTGAGAATAATTCCGGTTCCCCTCCTACCTCATCCAAATCCCATCCAATCAAAGCTGTGGAACGCTATATAAATTCCCTTCATTAATGTAATAAAATCTTTTTCTTTAATAATATGTGTTATACATGAAAACAAAGTGAGAAAAAAGCAAACTCCAAGATTTTCGGAATGTTCTAAAGGGTAAAAATGGATCAAAATCAACAAAACCGTCCAAGTGCCTCAATTTTTGATCGATTGAACTGCAATTTGAGTTACACAATAGAATATTGATTTTTTATATGTATTCATATTTTGTTTTATATTTTTTTCTCCCCAGTGGTATTCGTTATAATATGGCCAAAATTAGGGTCCATACTATCTTGAGAGACCGCGGTGAAATTTGATTTTGTAATTCATTAAGATAGTATGTACTTGGATTTTGTCCATATTACAACAAATTAGGGCATACCAGCGGGGAGAAAAAAATATAAATACATATAAAAAATTAATATTTTAAAAATCCATCTTTAATTTTTTTTATGCAACTGTTTCAACATTGTTTCAACTGTGTGTAACCCGAATTTAAGCTCAAACGATTTTGTAGGAAAAATCTGTAGAATTTCATCTTTCTATACAACTTTTTCTCTTGACACATTCTCGAGAGGAATCTTCAACAATGAATTTTTCCACTCTTTTTCCAGCCAATTTTTCTTCTATTTTCATTTTAAAGAATGAAATTCGAACCGAGGAATTTCTATGAAAACTGCTTCAGTAGAATTACTTGCATAGAAAAATCAAATTCCATAGATTTTTTCTATAGACATCCAATAGAATTCTGTAGCAAATTCGCTAGATTTTTCTATGACATTTTTTCATTTGTATTCACTTGAACTTCCCAAAGCAAATTTTATCCCTTTATCTGATAACTGAAATATGATCTACAGTTTTCATGAATTGCGTCATCAAATTGTGATTTTTTAATGACGAGATATTCTGAATTTTTAATCGAACTGCCACTTGTTCAAAATTTTTTAGATTCGTACTGGAAATTTCAGACGACAATTTTCAAAGTAGCTCTTCCCTTACGGTAAATTCAAAGATTATTGAAAACTGCAAAAAAATTGCAGAAAACTCGATTAGTTTCGGAATTCTAATTTTCTTCTCAATTTAATTATTGTATTGGCTTTTCAAAGAAGAAATGTTTAAAAATCAGGATTTAACCCAGTGTCTTATGTGAAAATCAACATTTCCATTGTAATCAAAGATTAAAATCGGAATTTTTTTTCATTAGATGTGAAAAAATCAAGAATTTTTTTGACACCTCATAAAAAATAATCCACCGTTTTGCAAACAAGTTTTATCATTTATTTATAAGAGGGAAATGTTTGAAAAAATATCAATATTTTGCGAAATTTAATTTAGATACTACTGACTGGGTATGAATTTTTTCAAATTTTTTCCATGCAATTTAGTTTAAATTAAAAAACTGAAAATATCCAAAAGTACAGCGCAGCCCGGCCGAAGGGTAGAACTAATTTAATAGTGATGTGCATCAATAGAAAACAAATTTAATAATAATACACAATTAACTAATGATATAAAAAATATGATGTGTCTAGGGAAAGCATTTGGTTCGCCGCATAATCTCGAGGTCCACAATATCGTGCATACTGGCTACAAACCTTACATTTGTAAAATGTGTGGCAAGGCATTTGCCCGGAAAGCAGAAATTCGAGATCATGAAAGAACGCACACCGGTGAAAAACCGTACCAGTGCGAATTTTGTGGAGCTACTTTCAGGTAAATGAATTTTTTTACTCAAACGAGGTGTTATTGCAAGAGTGGTTGAATTCAGTAGCGAAGCGGTAAAACGGCTCAAATCGATTTTAGAATATCGTGGAATCTAAGATTCCAAGATGTTCTAAAGATTGTTTAACAAAACAATTGAAGAAAGAATTTTTTTTTTTGAATCATTTTTTTAGCTTTTTTAATTTATTTTCCTCGTTACACTCAACGACTCAACTGGAGTTTATTCATACTATTTTAAAATATTCTCTATAACCCCTCATTATCAAAGTGATTCAATATTTTTCGAACAGAATCTGCAAAATTGAGTGATTTGTCTGTAATAGAAAATTTCAAGAGGAATTATTGTAAGATTATATCATCTTTCATAGCATATTCTTCCAGCTCCAAAAACTGTCCTATGACATTCTCTTTTTCCACAATCACTTATTCCTGAGATAATTTTATAATGAATAATGACTTTCACGAAAAAATGCTTTACACTATTTGACCTCATTAATTATAGAAATGTCCATTTTCCTATTTCACAGTCAACGATCGAATTTACAATCTCACAAACGAGCAACGCATTACAATGACAAAAGGTACAAGTGTGACGACTGTGGTAAGGGCTTCAAAAGACGTAGACTTCTGGATTATCACATCAAAGCTGCTCACACTGGAGAACGACCATACAAATGTGAAACATGTTCAGCGACCTTTGTTTATCCAGAACATTTTAAGAAACACATGAGAATTCATACTGGAGAAAAACCGTATTTATGCGAGGTAAATTTCATGATCTACCACATCAATAATTAATCAATCAAGCCTAAAAATCGATAGGATTGAATTAAGGGGGGAATACTATGAGTTTTAAAAGTCACGGGTTATTGGAATTAGATATCTCATACGTTAAAGGTCGGTCATCTGTATTATAAAAATCCAAATCGGCTTCTGGTGATGGAAATTTGGTACTCGAAATTGAGAGTCCAAAATTAAGGGGAAAATAAGGGTCATGAGGGTCAGAATAAGAGTGACAAGGGTCAGAATAAACGTCACAAGGATTATAATGAGAGTCAGATTAAGGATCCAAATAAGAGTCAGATTAGAGATCACAAAGGTCAGATTAAGGAACCGAATAAGGGTCATGAGGGTCAAAATAAGGGTCTCTATATCGCTCTATATTATAAAAATCCAAATCAACTTCTGGTGATGAAAATGGGAGTCTCAAAATTAAGACTCCAAAATTAAGGGTCACGAGAGTCAAAATAAAGGTCACAAGAGTGAGAATAAGTCAGATTAAGAGTCACGAGGGTCAGAAACTAAGGATCACCAGGGTCATAATAAGGGTCACGAGGGTGATAATGAGAGTCAGATTAAGGTTCCAAATAAGGGTCCCAAGGGTCAGATTTGGGATCACAAAGGTCAGATTAAGGGTTCAAATAAGGGTCATGGGGGTCAGAAACGATGGGTTACATGGGTCAAAATAAGGTTCTCTATATCCCTCTATATTATAAAAATCCAAATCGACTTCTGGTGATGAGAATTTGGTACTCGAAATTGAGACTCCAAAATAAGGGTCACGAGGGGTATAATGGGGGTCAAAATGAGGGTCATGAAGGTCAGATTAAGGGTCAAAAGGATCAGAATAAGTATTATGGGGGTCATATGAGGATCATATGGGGTATATGTATGGGTTAAATGGGGGTTGGCGAGCGGATCGAGCAGGGGGCGTAACCCCCTAGTATATGTCAATAAAAATAAAGAATTAGTGCAAAAAAATGGTTTATTGCTATCTTGACCTGCAAACGCTCAGAATGTTTGTAATAGTCCAGTCTCCTGAATTTTTGAGCTACAGAGGTTTTTTCAGAAAATTTCGAAAAATGTGCAGAATAACCATTACGAATTACTTTGTTTAGTTTCGATCTCCAAGTAGCTAATGTCGTTTTGATTTAAATAATTATGGGGGGTCTTTATTCCTTAATTTTTTTCGCTCCCGGAAAAACAAAAAATATAATAAATATTTTGAGAATAAAGTTACTGGCTATTTTGCATGAATCGTGAAATTTTTATTCGAACACGCACGAAAAAATTCAACAGAAAAACCTAGCGAATGACCTGAAAAACATCATTTCTTCACGTTTTATAACGTTCTAGACCATTTGCAATCGAAATTGGAAAATCGAATAATCAAAAATACATTACGAATTTTTTTTTAAATGTATTTTATTGATGTGTGATGGCCTTCAATTTGCATTATGCTACAATATTATTGTCTTTACCAATTCAGACCAAAAAAATTGAAAACTTGGAAATTTCAAAAAAGCTCTATTTTTTTTTTCGTCACTACATTTTGTATGTGGTAATCAAAATTTAAGTCAATCCATCAAAAATCCTGGTACGGCGACTATTTTGAAAATTTGACGCCTGTACAGGTACACGTCGTCAATGAAAGAAATTAAAACTCGATTTTTTCTGATTTTTTGAGTATACAAAATGAGTACTAAAATCATTAACATGCTAGGGACCTGCAATGTTCTAATTTCACTGCGGACTCCCCTTAACAAATAGATAGGATTCAATTAACCAAAAATGCTAATAAATTCGATGAATTTACAAAGGTCTGTGGAAAGGCATTCAACAGTCGAGACAATCGAAACGCTCACAGATTCATACACAGTGACAAGAAGCCATACGAGTGCCTTGTCTGTGGCATGGGATTCATGAGAAAACCTCTCCTCTACGCTCATATGCAGTCTCAAGGCCACTTGAACGACACCATCGTCGTCAATCAGCCGAGACTGACGACCGAGGAGGATCAGGTCATTCTCCCCGAGGGAGACGTCGAATTAATGCTGGAGGAAGATGCAGATGAATTGGGTGAAACTGAACTGTACGTTACTGATCTGAAGGACCATGTGATAATCCACGAAAATCAGAATATCTATCAAGAAGAAAGTGTTTTGGATATAACTGAAGAAGAGGGCATTGGGGAGGGAGGAGTCCAGCACATGGTTGTTAATAATCAGGTAAGATTCATTTTGAAAAGTAAATTCCAAGGATTTCATAGTTGATATCAAGTGTTTATAACCGTGAGTGAACGGTGAAAGAGCCCTGAATACAGTGATAACAATATAATAAGGAATATCAAGTGAAAATGGAATAAAAATTAAAATAAAATAAAATGAAGTAAAGGGGCGAAATACCATACATGATTCAAAAATAGCAGATTAGCTGGTAAATGTCTTTAAAAACGAACTAACGAATAGTAAGACAAATGGGAAATTGTTTTCATATTAATATAGTATAATTTTTTGCTAATAAATGCTTTCGAATGGTCACTTTGCGCATCTGTTTTTGTAGAATATTAATCGTATCATATCATTTTATTAAATTCAATGAAATTTCTTCTTCAATCAATTATATTATATTTGTAATTTCGTTAAATATTTGATAAAATTGAAAATCGCCACATATTAGGCATGAATTTTCTAGAATCATCTTAATTGTTAGCTCGGGACTATCCCCTCGTCGATCATTGGTAATTGTCTCAGCTACAGAAAAAGTCTCTTGTCATTTTTCCCCGGAATATATAAATTGAATATAAAATTTGAAATATTGTAGTAAATATTATGGAAAATTCAATTTTTTTATTTTCAGATGACATTTACTGAAGGTGAAGTAATCCAATGTAAAACAAATGACGAGGGAGAACAAGTGTACAGTTATAACGGGGGCGAAGACGGACAAACGATAGTTGTATCTGCAGGAGCTGAATACAAAGAGTTGATGAGTGATAGCAAAAACCCTGTGAGATTGGTGCAAATAAGAATTCCATCCTCAGCTGGTGTCGAGGAAAAGAGTTGGCTGAGTTTAGTTCAGCAGAATACGTAACTCTAATTCGATTGTACGTTTCCTTAGTTAATTTGTCAGCGATTGAAGGAGATAATGAATTCACATTGTATAGCAAAAAATTGATAGAAAAATCTGGCGCTTTCTTCAAGAAATTCTATTGAATTTCTATTAGAACTCTACAAAAATTATATTGGTGTTCTATGAGAATTCTATTGAAAACTTCTATTTATTTTTTGCGCCAATTTTATTAAAAATTATACAAGATGCCCCGCCGTTTTAAACAGTTATTTTTAAAAAATTGTAATTAAACAGCTATTTGTTTATAGAAAAATGTCTATAGATATTGATTTTTCTATATAACTTATTCTGTGGAGATTTTTGCTATAAAAATTCTTGAACATGATTTTTCCAATTCTTGTTCTTGGATTTTATGATGAGAACAAAAATAAAAATACAGTGGAAAGCCTTGGAAAATTGACGCCCAAAATTTTTTAACGAAAAATAAAAATTACTGACTTTTTTTAACAAATATCTCTTACGAAAATGGCACGATAAAGTTGCATAATGTCCTGTGGAAATAGCGTTCCAAAATAAATTGAATTTTTTAATAAAATTCTAATACAACATCGAGAGAATTCTTGTAGAGCTCCAATAAAAATTCAGCGGAATTCCTCAGAGGAAGCCCCAGCTTTTACTAATAATCATCTTGTGTTTGTAATGTTTCCTTTGCTGTTTAATTTTCAACTATTCTTAATTATGTGTAAGAACCATCTGTAACTGTAATATTGAATAAAAGATTCATCGATTTTTTATGATATTCATTGATTTTATTTTTCATGTTTTTTATTGCTCTATCTGTTTCCTCTTAGAAATTGATAGCGATTTTTTCTACAATTGGGGGGGTTGAAAAACCATCTCTCAAATTTTTTCAGATTTTTTTGGCAGCCCAGTTTAGAGATATGATTTTTTTCTCGTTTTTCCGACTTTTTTCAATAACTCGAGTTCTATCCATCCGATCTTGATTTATTAAGCGTCTAAATTTTTATTTTTTTACTGCCTATAAGAATATTTTCAGTAAAAAATTTTTTTCAATCTTTAGATGCTCATAACGAATTTTCGAAAAAAAGTTGAAAAAGTTGAATTTTGCAAATTATGTCACTTTTTATTTGTTTCATTTTTTTCAGTAATTCTTATAATCAAAACAAGTTTTTTGAGCCGTCATACAAGTTTGAGGATCCTTTTGGAGCTATTTTATTTTCAATTTTTTCTTTTCGAAATTCCGCAAATTTGGTCAAAACATCCCAAAACGCCTTTGATTATGTATTGACAAAATATATAATATATAGCTATATAGCCAAATTCACTTCATAATGTGTATAATCAAAGTCAAAGAACGCCATTTTCGGGTGTTTTGACCAAATTTGCGAAATTTCGAAAAGAAAAAATATTCAGGACGATCCCCAACTTGTATGAGGGCTCAAAATACTTGTTTTGATTATAAGAATTACTGAAAAAAATGAAACAAATCAAAAGTAACATAATTTGCAAAATTCAACTTTTTCAACTTCTTTTTTTCAAAAATTCTTCATTATGAGCATCTGAAGATCGAAAAAAAAATTTGTACTAAAAATATTCTTATAGACAGTAAAAAATGAAAAATTTTGACGCTTAATAAATAAAAATCGGATGGATAGAACTCGAGTTATCGAAAAAAAATGGAAAAACATATACCATAAAAGAGCAATTTCGCACTTGTTTCAAATCAAATTATTGGGGATTTTTGATCAAATTGTTGGGGATTTTTGGGTTGGGTAGGGTCATCCCAAAGTAAAATTTCAGGTTATTATGACGGCTAAGACACTCAAAATTCCCTATGGCCCAATAGACGGATATACCACAAGCGGGTATAACGTCAGTTCCGGAAGTTCGAATGTAATAATCAAGCCAGTCACTGGTTGATAATTCAACGGGATGTAACAATAATATATATTATTGATTGGTAATGGAATGAAAGATCATGAAGACTACTTTTCAATAAACTGATTCTGAATGATGACTACTATTCCTGACTGTCCAAAATCATATAGAATTTTTTGATGGATAATGAGAGAACTAGAGCTTAATCATGCAGATTAATCGATTAATATGGGCTATGATATGAAAATTGTATGAAAAATTTTTGAAATGAAAGTGAAGAGAATAAAAATTCTGTTTAATAGCTTAGTCAAATCCAGATACAGCGGGAATATGGAAATGAATAACAATTAGGTATCATGATGTGATTATCATGTGTTGTGACCCTGGGATGCAAGCAGCCACTTAAGTTAGGTGGCTGTTAGGTGGCTACTTGTTTTGGTGTAAAAAAGGGTAAGTGATACCTGAAACGATTATGGATGTAAATCTATGAATTATTAAGGAATTTTAGTAGCACTTTAATGACATTAATCTCCAATAATTAAAGAAAATAACAGTTTGTGTATTGAAAGGGAAAATAAATCAGTAGGGGGAACGCCGCCGGATGCCGGCAGTGTCGACTTCTCGCCCAGGCCGATAAAGTCGGCAGCAGTGGCAGGAGAAAATTGATTATCCAATAGGTTCATATTGGCATTTTTTTTAATTAGTTTAATTCTGTACTGACCCAATTGCCCTACGTGAACAATGTTATCGCAAATAGATATGTAGGAGGAGAATGCTGCGGGTCAAATAGGGGCGAAGAGGGGCATCAAATAATTAGATAAATAAAATAATGGAATCTAAAAATTTTGAACTTTGTGAGAAGTGGG